TTTTTTTTTCGACGTAATTTCATAGAAATTACTAGAAAAAAAAATAAGGGGAATAGCAAAAGAAGTATCTTTTAGAAAAACAATTTATGTATTTGATAGTAGTACACATCAATTAATTGACAAAATTAATGGTGTGTCAAAAGCGTTAAAATATGCTAAAATTAACTATTATACATTGAAAAGTTTAATTGAAAATGGAAATTCTTTTAAAGGTAAAATATATAGCTATAAAGATAAATTATAAATTTTTCAATACGTACGCATATATGTTATATGCAACATTTCTTAGGTCATATTAATGTAGGCCCTTTATGATTGATAAATGATATTTGCACAACACTGTATGCTAGAAACTCTATTTGGTACTACGGACTATAATAGACAATTAGCAGGAAACCTAAGAGTTAATATATCTATCTTTTAACTTAAGTGGGATCCTCAGAGACTATACGTGTTGCAACTTAAAAGTTGAAGAAATAGTCCTTTAACATAGTGATATGTTAAATTACATCTTGCTACTTGTATTTTATTTTTTTATTAATTATGATTACCTCAGTTATAATAATAAAATGTATCTAAAAAGCTTTTGTGATGAAGCTTCATCTGAAACTTCAAATCAATCTAGTAATTCAGAAATAAATAGTAATTCTGAATCTGTACAAAACCCTAATTTTGGGACTGAACAAGATCCAGATGATGATGATTTTGTTAAAAAAACAGTAAATAATAATAACTTAACGACTATTGAACATAAACATAAATTTAACCAACAACATAAATTAAATTTAGCTAATTTAAAATCTTCTACAGTTTCTCCGGTATATAATCTTTTAAATGACAGAGAAACAATTTTAAGAGAATTTTTAAATAAAAGTGGTATATATCTTATTCATAACAACGTAAACGGTAAACAATACGTAGGTAGTGGTACGGATTTAGCAAAAAGACTTGCTACTTACTATTTCCCTTCTCGTTTGGTTGATAATCGTTATATTTCTAATTCTATCTTAAAATATGGACACGGTAATTTTTCTGTAGTTATTTTATATGTTTTAGGTAATACTGATATATCTATAAAGAAAGATATTATTAGTAAAGAACAAAAGTATATTGATTTATATTTACCAGTTCTTAATTTAAATCCTATTGCTGGATCAAGTATGGGTTTCAATCATTCAGAAGAATCTAAAAGACTTATGTCTGAGTTTCGTAAAGGTAAACCTTTATCTGAAAAGACTAAGAAAAGATTAAGTCTTTTATTTTCAGGTGAATTAAATCCTTTCTGATCTAAACACCACACTCCTGCTACTTTAGAGAAAATGAGTAAATCTAAATTAGGTGCCTTAAATCCTATGTTTAATAAGGAAAAGTCCGAGGAATTTGTTGCACATATGTATAAAGATAGAAAAGGTTCTAATAATCCTATGTTTGGTAAAACTAAGTATGAAGAAACCTTAGCGAAAATAAGAAAAAAGGTTTATGTTTATGATAGTAACAAACAATTTATTAAATGTTATGATAGTATAAAATTTGCTGTAAATGATTTACACATAGCTTTTGAAACAATTAAAAAATATTTAGATACAGATAAAACATATAAAGATAAATACTTTTATTCTGAACTGCAATAAATATATTTATTTAGTAGCAAGAAAAGCTACAAGGTATGCCACGTAGAATTAGTGATTATCCTGATGCTTTTACAGGTTGAAACTTTATTAGTAGTATCGGTTCTATAATTTCTGTAGCTGCTACAGCATTATTCTTACATATTGTATACTTACAACTTGTTAAAGGTAAAGCTATCTTTGGATACCCTTGAGCCGTTCCTCAATTATTTAGTGATTACTTACGTATACTTAAAGATAAATGTGCTCCAGGATTAGAATGAGCATTACATAGCCCACCTAAACCTCACGCATTTACTAGCTTACCATTACAAAGTAGTGGTATATTAAGTTCTCTTTTTCTAGGTATAAGCTTTTTATTTACTATATCAAACGAATTTATATGTGATGCACCTAGAGCTTGAGGACTTTACTTCCAAGATAGTGCTAGCCCACAAATGGAAGCTTTAGTAGAATTACATGAATTTTGTGTATAAGAGTCAAACTCCGGGGACGTCCTAAAGCTCTAACTACCAAGGATATAAAGTCAATTTTTATCTGGCTTAACTAATAACTAAGGTAAGGTAATAAAGTTAGAGATAGAAGTTAGAACAGCTTAAAATGGAAAATCGCGGATCTAAATCAGTAAAATAATATTTTATTGTATAAGAGCAACGAGTAGACGACTCTTCAGTTTTTAACTGTAAGGTGTACTCTGGCCCTTTGAGAAATCAAAGGATCTAAATAAATATATATATAGCATGAAAATCCTAGCAGGCTCTATTCAAATCCTTCAGGGTGCTGACCAGTTTCGGTTTCGTGGTGTTTCACTTCTACTAAGAAGTTAACGGTAAGCTATACGAAATACGAAGTCTCCCTCGAGAGCTTTATGTAATAGCCGGGGACTTCTGCGTATCACCTAATTTTTTTTTATATTCTCTATGAGAATTAAAAATAAAACCTGGCTGGGTCAGAGTTTGCTTAAATTTATACCGTAAAAACGCGGAGATAAATAGTTTAATATGAATCTCGATTTAATAACATAAGAACTTAGGAAGTAAAGACTTACGAGTTTAAAATACTTACTAGGTAAGGTTTCTGCTAAGCCGGACTTACTTTATTTAAGATTCGCACGGTATACGGCGAAATTGTATATATCTTATATTATTGAATAAATATACGGAAAATTCCTTTTGGTTAAACCTTGCATGACGGAATGATCCTAAATTTGGATCGAAAACGCATTCAGCTAAATTTAACCTAAATCCTGCTTTTTCTGCTAATTTGAATAAGTTACACCCTGCTTATGTGACAGGGTTTTGTGATGGTGAGGCATGTTTTCATTTAGCCATAGGTGAAAACCCTAGATATAAATTAGGTTATTATGTTAATCCTGGTTTTTCTATAGCTTTACACAAAAAGGATGAAGAATTTTTATTATTACTTAAAGAGTTTTTTGGTGGCGTAGGGGTAGTAAAACCTAGTAGTCGGTCTAATATGGTGGAGTATAGAATTTTTGCTATTAAGGATTTAGATATTATTCTAAATCATTTTGACCTTTACCCTTTAATCACAAAAAAAGGGGGAGATTACTTACTATTCAAGGAAGCCTTAGAATGTATTAAAAATAAACAGCATTTAACTGTTGAAGGGTTTAATAAAATTCTGGCTATAAGGGCTTCTATGAATAAAGGGTTGCCCGCAAAACTACTGGAAAAATTTCCTTATATTAAGGGGAAAGAAATTCCTGTGGTGGTAACACCTGAGAGTTTAAACCCTTACTGGGTAGCTGGTTTTATGGACGCTGAAGGTTGTTTCTTTGTAAAGTCTATTTACAATAAGAACAATGAGCTTAGATTTGGGCTAGGTTGTCAAATTACACAGCACAGTCGGGATTCTTTAGTTATGCACAAAATTTGTTCTTTCTTTAACTGCGGTAGAGTTGAAGTATCTAGAATGGTTTACGATAATTATGTTGTAACTAAGTTACCAGATATAAATAAAATTATCATTCCTTTCTTTACAAATTTCCCAATACTGGGTTCTAAACGTAAAGAATTTGAATGTTGGACGGATATCGCCAAAATAATGACTTCAAAAGCTCATCTTACTAACGAGGGATCTGAGAAGATATTAAAAATAAAACATCAAATGAATACATTTAGGAAGGAAGATGATAATAATTAGAAACATTTTGTAGTATTAGCTATAGAAAGTCTAGGATTCATTAATTTATATACCGTACGAGTATATAGTAAATTGATGAGAAATTAACCATTAAATAACTTTAATATCCACACAAATATAAAAAGTAACTACTCAAACTAGCAGGTTTATTTATTGGTATATTAGGTATAATAAGTTTAAAATATAAATGTTCTCTCTGCTGCCTACCGTAAACTAAGTTTTAGTGAAGGAAGCTATAAGGGGGGGGCGTAAGCTCCCGCGGCTGGGTTTATAAACTTATTATATTCTAATGAAAAAGCGGATAATATTATGTATTACTTAGTTGCTATTTTATTTGCTGTAGGTTGAATACAAGGAGCTATTATTAAAAATTTTGATAGTTCTAAAACACCTATAAGTAACAAATATCTTAACCACGGTACATTAATCGAATTAATTTGAACAATAACTCCCGCTTTAATCTTAGTATTAATAGCTTTCCCTTCTTTTAAATTATTATATTTAATGGATGAAGTTACAGATCCTTCATTATCTGTATTAGCAGAGGGTCACCAATGATATTGAAGTTATGAATATCCAGATTTCTTAAATAGTGATGGAGATTTTGTTGAGTTTGATTCTTACTTAGTACCTGAATCTGATTTAGAAGATGGAGCGTTAAGAATGTTAGAAGTAGATAACAGAGTTATCCTTCCTGAAATTACACACACTAGATTTATTCTTACTGCTGCAGATGAACTGAGGACCTTTAGCAAGTAACTCTTAACGTCTATACACTATCAAATTCCGGGGACACCCTAAAGACCTTTTAACTAAACGTTTATCTCAAAAGGTTAAACGCGGCTATGTTAATGATCATAGGTATAGTAATATCAAAAGGTATATACGAAAGTTAAATGGGTTATCGTGGATCTAAATCACCTAGTTACCTTATTTGGTAACCCTACAATCTTGTAATTCACGCTACAACAGCAAAGAAAGATTGCTAGGCTACATCATTATAGTGCAGTAGGTTGTAAAAGAGCAACGAGTAGACGGTAGTGGTCTATAATAGTAAAAAGAGGTTACACTCAACTATTCTAGATTAAGGTATACTCTAGTCGACCTGATAATAGGTCGTTGGGTTTACAGCTATACCTAAAATCTAAATATTTTAATTATTTATTAATCAACGCAATGGAGTAATTCTTATACGATTTGGCGGTGGTACATACGAGTAGAAAATTTTGAATAGAATGAAACCAGATTATTAGATCATGGTGAAGTAAACTCTCGGTTAAGTGTTCTTTTGCCTTTCTAGTGATAAATAAATATTCTCGATGTCCTAGACCACGTAATCCTGTTTCTGTTCTTAAATCCAGTATTCTGTTTAGAAGAACAAGAATTCTACCCAATATGCATGGTTGTAGGTTTTATTCGGAAAATAACCACAATCGTATCACAAGTGAAGAAATTAATAAAGTACTAGCTAATCAAGGTGTTTCTATTACACAAAAGGAACTGGATGTATTGTTAAATATTAAGGGTGTAACTTTTGACTTACCCTTCGATAGTCAAACATTACCAGCTTTATTTGGTTTAGTAGGTAAACCGGCTCTGCTGGTTTACCCTGCCCAAGGGAAGGTAATCCTAAAAGCAGAAGACCTAAAGCCGGTATATATATTTTTACACACTTAGCTACTGGTAGAAAATATGTGGGGTCAAGTAATAGTCTTTCAAGAAGATTAGAACAATATTTTAACCCTAACCCTTTATTTTATAAGGAATATGGTTTATTACTTCCTTTGATTAAAAAAGAAGGGTTTTCTGCTTTTAATCTGGAAATATTTGTTATTTATTTTTTCTTTACTTTTGCTTATGATCCGTTGTAAGTTTTAGCAAAAGTAAAGAAAAAATTAGGAAGAATTAAGCTCAGATTATAACTTTTTATTTTTGGAGCAATATCACTTATTAGATAGTAATTTTAATTTAAATACTCAAAGAGTTGTTAATTTTAGAGTTAATCAAGGAAATACTGTTTATCTATATGATCTTGAGGGTAAGATTTTATATTACACTGCGACTTCTTTTAATGGATTGAAAGCTAATTTAGGTATACATCATTCTACTGTTACAAAATGTATAAAAACCGGATCACTTTATCTAGATTATTTCATGATTTCAGATCAACTAAAACCAGATGCAAAAAAAGCTGGTTTATCTTTAGAAGAGTTATCTAAATTTATTTCGGACAAAAGATGATTATTTCTAAAAAAAGATTTTTCTTTGAAAAACAGTAAATCAATCTATATTAAACAAGATGTTACAGGAGTAACACAGCATTTTCCTAGCATAACCTCATTAGTTAAATACTTTGATAGTATAAATATTAAGGCTAACCGTAATAAGATAGCTAGTTGTTTAAATACCAACGAATCTTATTTAGGTTACACTTACTATACTAATACAACCTAACTAATACCAAACTATAAATATTTGGTGGTTACTAGCCCATAAGTAATAGAGTTCCAACAAAGTGTTATAAGAATAAAATATTTAGATCATGGAAAAGTAAACTTTCGGTTATCCACTCATTTGCTATTCCAGCATTAGGAGTTAAATGTGACGCATAAAAAAATAATGTTTGTAGGCTATTCATTATATGTGCAAAAGAGCCAAACTTCCGGGGAAGCCCTAAAGCTTTAGTAACCAAGGTAATTAAGGAAACTTTTTTGCTGGCCTGATTAATGACTCAGGGTACGGTAATATCACTAAAGATGATGGTAACTGAAATGGGTGATCGCGGATCTAAATCAGATAAGGCTTGCTTGCTTATCTGTAAAAGAGCAACGAGTAGACGGTTCTTCAATCAAGTTTATAGATCCGTCTATTTTTTTTTT